GTCACCCCTGGCCTTCATTATGTCCTATGGGTGTCAAATTATCAAACCCTTCTTTCCTCTAGGTGTTCTAGAAATGTCAACTCTAAGTGTTCTTTTTATATCCATTTTCCTTAAAACTTCCCCGATTACATGCTCTGTCCATGGTGTTCTCAGCATCCTCTCATAGAACAACATCTGTTGCCTCAAGTTTCCTCTTCATTGGTGAGAAAATTGTCCAGAATTCATTGCCATATAAGGACAGTTTATCTCACACAGCTGTGTTTTCTTTGTTTCTAATGAAAATTTCCTGTTTCTCAATACTTTGCCTAGATTTTGGAAGGCAACTTTTGCTATTCCAATGCACCTTCGGAGTTGTACGTCATATCCTGTCATTTGTTAGAACACTTCCCAGATATTTCAACTTCTGCACTTGTTTGTTTTTACGTTTCTAAACAGTAGCGTGCATCTTGGGCTGCTTCTCTTGCTGACAACTATAATATACATCTAAGCTTGTTTGTTTGTTTTCATGTGCAAGTTTTAGGCCAAAATAAATAAAAAGAGAAGTCAATCGATTATATGTTGAAATCCATGCATGGTTGAGAGGATGAGAAGCAACTCTTAATACAAAAACACTCACTAGTAAACAATGTACCAAGTAGTAATGAAAATATATGCAATCGTTTATGCAAAGGAGCTTGTTAACTTGCAGATTAACTTTGTAAAATATTCTTTTAGTCACTTGTATCGAAGTTCATAATCCAGGATAGCTCATGGTATCCTAGTAACTGTACATTTACAGAAAATATTTTTTTTTTTTTTTACCTAAGAACTGCTATAGTGATGGAAAACAAGAAAAAAGGATAAAAGCTCAACTGCAAGAAGAGGGAATGCATGGTTGTCAGCAAAAAGGGCAGCCCAATACACAAATTAGAGATAGCAAAATCAAACAAGTACAACAACTTAAATATCTGGGAAGCATTTTAACAGAGAAAATGGGACACTGAAATCTAAAGGTGCACTGAGATAGCCAAAGATGCATTCTAAAAGCTAAGCAGAGTATTAAGAAACAAAAAAATCTCATGAGAAACAAAGAAAAGGGTACTGAACAGTTACATAATATCAGTTATGTACCATGCGTGATACATGCTTAGGCAATCATGTATCGAAAGATACATGACTGACAAGGTAGATTTTTTCCTGCAGTAGGTTGCCATTTCTTTCTGTTGTAGACCAGTTGCCATCCAAGGATATAGAACTCAATCTGTCCTGCTATTTACCCATATCTGGGGGGGAGAAGAGGAGGTTTCATACCTTTCCCAAGGGAATTAGCATTTAAGTGAATGTTATGGATTTGTCTGGAATTTGAACTTGGTTCTCTAATTCCTCAGTTGGAGCTGCTATCCATTACTCCACTGTAGTCATCCTATATGACAAACTCCTGACAGATGAAGGGGGCCTTGAGGCAGTAGAAATTTGATTCTACAGGAGGATGCTGAGGATACCATGAACCGAACATTTGAGCAATGACGGTTTTAGAGAAGATGGAAACAAAAAGGAAATTTATACTTAATATGCAAAAAGAGGGCTAAGAAAATCTGATACTCACAGGACAGATTGAAGGACAGATGAAAACAATGCATAACCTACTTAGTGAGCTTGAGTAAATGGATGGTGGAACAAGGTTTAGGTAAGATAATGAAAAACCAAAATTTACTGAGAGCTACAAAGGACAGGAAATCTTGGAGAACCATGATCACTTGCATCCTGAAGGGACACAGCAGAATGAAGAATTTACTCTAAAAATTTACTCTTGTGCTTAATTTTTCTGCAAGCAATGTAGCCCCTTTTTGATGCTTCTGGAGGCCTCATGTATTCCAATATGTACTGTGCATGCTATACATTGCTATTCAAAACAGGATCCGTTCTAACTGATGACGGAAAACACAACACAGACATCTGAATGGGCATTGAGTGAGCAAACAATACCTTCCAAAAGCTGGGCAAAACAAAGTATTAATGAACAGCAAAATTTCATTAGAAACAAAGAAAAGAGTATGTTATGTGTATACTCGTCCTTCTAATGTCAGTGAATGCTGGACAATCTACTTACAAATAAAGAGATGAAGCAACAGAAATGGAGTTCTACAGAAGGATGCTGAGAATACCATAAACAGAACATGAGCAACAACAAAGTTTTAAAGAAAATGGGAACAGAAAAAAAAAAAGGATGCTTATACTTAATATCAGAAAGAGAATTTCTAGGGTACATAATGAGGAAAGAGAGAGCGTGAGAAATTTGACACAAGACAGACTGAAGGCAATAGAAACAGAGAAAAAAAATGTATACCTAAGCAACCTTGAGTAAATGGATGACAAAACAAGGTTTAGGAGAGATAACAAAATGACAAAATTTATTAACAGCTACAAAAAAAAAAAAAAAAAAATTGGAGATCCTTGATTGCCAACACCTTGAAGGGTCACAGAACATAAAAGAATCTACATCAGCCTCGTCCTTTACACCAATAATTCATAATGCAGATCCCATAGTTTTATTAGAGAGAAACATGAATTTATAGGAACTTCCTGAAAAATATTTTATGTGCCATAAAACAAGATGCTTTATTACAAAAAAAAGTGAATAAAAAAACTTATATATATATATATATATATATATATATATATATATATATATATATATATATATATATATATATATATATCAAATCTATATCTTGTTCAAAAACTGTTGACCTATAAGCTTTGGTTTTTAGAATTAGGCCAGACTAAGATAAATAATCAGTTGTAAGAATCAAGTTAAAACTTTATAGTTTTCCAATTTAATGATCTTGCTTAACAGTAGGCACTACTTTGTAGATTTCAAAACAAGAGGATGTGTTAATAAAAATGTCCAAAATTTGTAATATAATTTTATTGTTGAGAATTAAGATAAAAATGATTTACATCCAATGTACTGAGCTAAAGATTTTGTCTGAAGGAAAAGCGGAAAGAGAGACAGAGAAAAGCGGAAAGAGAGACAGAGAAAAGCGGAAAGAGAGACAGAGAAAAGCGGAAAGAGAGACAGAGAAAAGTCTAAGAGAGACAGAGAAAGACAGAGAAAATTGAACAGGAAAGAAAGAGAGACAGAGAAAGCGAAAGAGAGACAGAGAAAAGCGGAAAGAGATCAGAGAAAAGAAATGAAAGAGACAGAGAAAAGGAAAGAGAGACAGAGAAAGAGAGAAGAGAAAAGCGATTGAGAGAGACAGAGAAAAGCGGAAAGAGAGACAGAGAAAAGCGGAAAGAGAGACAGAGAAAAGCGGAAAGAGAGACAGAGAAAAGCGGAAAGAGAGACAGAGAAAAGCGGAAAGAGAGACAGAGAAAAGCGGAAAGAGAGACAGAAAAAGCGGAAGAGAGACAGAGACAAGAGAGACAGAAAATTTGAAGAAAGAGGAAAATAGACACAGAAAAAGCGGAAGAAGACAAAGAAAGAGAAAGAGAGACAGAGAAAGCGGAAAGAGAGACAGAGAAAAGCGGAAAGAGAGACAGAGAAAAGCGGAAAGAGAGACAAAGCGGAAAGAGAAAGAAAAGAAAAAACAGTACGTGAAAATATTAGATTACTTGTAGGCAAACTACACTGATCTTAAAATCATATTTCAATGAAATTATGGTTACTTATTTGCGAATGAATTTGTGAAAAGGGGTTTTTCTATGAAAAATCTTCAGGAAATGATCTTTTAACAGCAACTATTGGTTTTTATGGAATTTCAAAAAATATTTTGAACTTACTTGAAATCTTTTTTATATTCTCCAGAGAAATTAAATCAAATGAAATTTTATAGTAACTTCAGAGAAAGAAAATATGCTTGCAATCAGAAAACAAAAATTACAATTAAACTAAAATTTTATTTTTTTAAATTGAAGGCAAAAAATTGCATTTGCTCATTTTTATAAGGGCACCACAGCATGATGCCATGGTCTAAACTCATCCCTGTAGCACCATAGTTCACCGACAGAACAGAATGGCTGAAATGAAAAGGAATGACAAACATGCTTTGTTCTCAAAGAGACTTTTATACTATTAAGACACACAAAACTGTATATATATATATATATATATATATATATATATATATAACACACACACAGAACCATATGTCTACAAGCAAGCAGAGTGTAAAGAAATCAAAAAGAAAAAAAATATGGAGATTCTTCCGCGATTTCTGGAGTAACCAGATTTAGGAGGCCAGATTCATCTACTATGTCCCAGACAAGAACATATTCCACAAAAGGAAACAGCAAGTCTTTAAGTTTTTCCAAATTGAGAACTTTGAGCCAGAGTTTCTTTCTATATCTGGGGAAAATATATTCCCAAAAGGAAACACCACTATGGACTTGTATTCTGTTAGGATGGCAGATTTAGTCCTTGCCTGGGCTGTGAAGGACCCAGGCCAAAGAAAGCAACCTCTCAGTTTGGCTGCTGTAAACAAACTGAATGACCGGCCATTAAGTGGTCATTACGTGACACGTGACTTAGCGCCACTAAAGAGAGATAATCACATTCTATATTCCTACAAAGATATTGACTTTCCAAACTACTACAAAACAAATGTTTAGTAATGAGACCTATCAATAATAGAAAGCGTGATAAAAGGGAGGCTTGAAAACCCCTTTTCCCTGAAAAACTGCTTTAAGAGAAAAATTTTATAAATTTCATCTGACAAAAACACTAAATGTACAATCAATGAATGCTTAATGTTGCCTTATAAGGAAACAGCTAATCTCACCATTACTATTTAATTCTCCATATGTCAAAGAACATATTTAAATTATTGTAATATGTTTAAAAATTACTTAAATGTATGGTGGTGTCTACTAATAGGATTTGTAAGTTTTTCCATTATAGTAACTTGTTAGTGTATGAAAATATCAACACAAGTAGCTTAATTAACCTTTAATTTATACCCTCCCCACCAATTTGTTTTGTTATGGATGACTACCAAACATGCAAAGGCTTACAGCAACATGTTGAAACACTGGTTTCCAAATGATCACTGAAGTTAAGCAATATCTAGCCTGGCCCGTACTTAGATGGGTGACCGTTTGGGAATACCAGGTGGTGATGGCTCGAAAACTGTTAATCAGAGAGCCAAGTTCCAATGCTAGTTGGATTTGTTATATTCACTTACATACAAATACCTTTAGGAAAGGCATGAACCCACCTCTTCTTCCCCAACCCAGCTATGGGTTAATTAGAAAGACTTGTATCACTAAATTATTATCTAAAAAAAATCTTACAATCTAAAAATATTTTTTGGCTTTAGATAACCCACAAAGGGTTGATAAGTCATAGAAAATGAGTCAATAAATCAAATAAGACACCTTAATATGTAATACTGTTGTGTTTTCTCTTATATAAGGGCAGATGAAAATATATTAAAACCAACCATAATGTCAACATGTTCCTGTGTATTACAAATATTCATTTCATTAAAAGCAGCCACTTGAATCTGAGGATGCTAGTCTACTAGGGCAGCTAGATAATCCCCATTGCAGAAAACTGCTCAGGCCCATTTGTGTTTGTTCAACACTCACAGATCCCACCTGTGGTTTAAACTGCAACTATGCTGAGTGGATCTTAGTTTCTGGGAAAGAACGCGTTATCTAACATGAGCAACGGTCTTAACAAGGCTAGTATGCTCAAATCCTTGGTCACAATGATTTGTGACACAGTGCTAACACAACCACTGACAGCACCCAAAGGGTACTGTCTATCCAATTTCACTCACAAGGCTTGGGTCAACCCGTAGTATGGTTTTCAGGCACTTTCCAAAGGTGCCACATGCTGGGATTGCCTCCTCCAGATCTATTAGAAGTCACCTTCCTTACAAATCAACCATCGTGAGATTCAAACCCAGGTCTCATGGTCAGAAAGTGAACATTCTAATCACAAACATACCATGCTAATAAATACAAAGGTAAGCAATTCAAAGCAAATTTGAATCATCAAATACAAGAACCACCAAATCCCAATGTTACTAAATCCAGCTGATCACACACTATATTTTCATGTATAAGTTTTGTGATGTCAGTGAACACTCATTGCCACTTTTGTAATGTCAATGAATACTGTCACTTTCGTAATGCTCATTGTAGTAGAGACTTTGTGATTGCAGATACCAATACGCTGTTGAACAATACTGGTGTCAGACGTCTTTGAATAGCACTTGCACTAACAGTACTTGCTCGATAATACTCGCTCATATAGTAATCCATATAGTGATCCAAATAGAGAAATAGTATTGTGAATAGAGTAGAGAATATTGAACCGTATAGTAATAGAGAATAGAAGTGCAGATCAATCTCGACATCACGCAACTTCCTATATATGCATTTCTTCTATGGTCACATGATCCACTTAATTCAACAATGGGATTGCCTGTGTTTGATCACTGGCAATCTACATTCAATCTCAAGTGTCGGCAGTGACACTTTATTCCTATATAACAACAAAGCAACCTTTAGATAAGACTAGATCAAAAAATATAGCAAATTTTCATGAATTTATCCTATAACTGTAGTCTAAGACAACTGTTTATTGATTATGTAAAGATGATGTTATTGGAAATGTTGTTACTTACTGTATACTAGGAAATACGAAATAAACGAAATAAAACCGATTCTATATCAGGTTTTTCCTACACACGTCCCCTAAAAGGGAAACCATTGTTTTGTTTGTTTCAACATGAGACCTCTTGTGAATATCGATTCTTCCTTTCTTATATCTAAACAGTTACAAACAGCCTGGTGTACTAATGGCCATTTACTTATACTTCAACAATCACAAAATAACACTCGTAATGTACAATAACAGCACATTCTATTGCCATGAATGCAATCATAACTATGTTTACATTTTTTCAGCTGAGCTTGCATGGACACAAGTTGATTTCATTGATATGAAATTATTCTTTGAACAGGCAATTTATTAGGAAGTTATGCCCGTAATATATATGGTAAAAATGGTTTCATTGTCTTATCAGTTTATTTGATAATGTAAATCTTTTCATGTACTTTATGCCAACAAATATCACTCAAAATTTAAGGTTTCCTTTTTTAGAATTGTAGTATTAGACGATCCCTAATCTTTAAAGATGATCATTGGGATTTAAGATTGTCTTATACACAGAAATATACAATATGTGTGTGTGTGTGTATATATATATATATATATATATATATATATATATATATATATATATATATATATATATATATACACACACACACAGATATAAGTAAGGGTATAAACCAAATTAGATATTAGCAACTGTATATACGTTAGCATCCATATAAAGAGAGGCGAATAAATATTTAAATTAATATAAAGGTGCAAACAAAACTGCTCAATGCAGTTAGAGCTAAAAAGTATATATTAATAAATATACCAACATTTGTAATGCAACTTAAAGTTTCATGGTTTTCTCATGTCATCAGTTGCACTACAAGTGTGTGTGTGTGTGTATATATATATATATATATATATATATATATATATATATATACACACACACACACGTACGTACACACTGCAATAATACTTTCCTATCCTAAAGTATCCATTTATGGTAAATTGTTGTTTACAAGCTACAGGATCTGCTAAGTACCACAGGCAGAGATAAATAAAAGAATTCACTGTTAATACAAGGAGTGCTCAAAGCAAACTGTTAAAACCTGATTTTACATTATATTTATACATTTTTTTTTTCTAAGTACTTTTGCTATTTAAAAAAATTATTTTCCAGTTTACAATAGTCGAAGAATGAAACTAATTCAACTCCAATTTAAAACATCTTTTTCTTCATATTTACAAGTGTCTGTAATTAGAGTAGCTTCATTAAGGAACAGTATGGATCAATTGTATTTATTCATTTATTTTTTTTTTTTTTGAACACCAATTGCATTTCAGTTTCTATAAAGAAATAAAATTTCAGATTTTGGTACGGACTGAATTCTGAAGAAACCGAATCAATATATAAAACAAAATTTCCTTTATTTTCCTAAACACAGAATTATAATTTTTATAGAATTTGGTCATGCTCCACTTTACTGTGATGTAAAAAGAATTAATCACTAATTGTATAAGAGTCATTTTTTTTTCTTCCTATTCTGTTTAAACTTGCTTTTCGGAATCTCAAGGTAGTAAGGTTTTCTTCAGAAATCATTTTCTAACATATCCGTTCAAATAGTTAAAAAACAAAAAAAAAATGTTATGAAATCTCATTCCCTCTTTGATAATCAAGTTATTTTATACCAGCTTATATGGATGTTTCTGATTGATGGACTACCTTCGTTCAAGTTGAAATCTGATGCTGTTAAATGAGGTCAACACCTTACACCACCCAAGCAAATCATCAGTGGATCTCTATGGAAAAGGCACAAGAAGCCTGACAAATAGCATCAAGTTTTGTTTGATTTGCCAAGTCCCTTATCTATCAATCTTCTTCAATTGTTGGGTCGACCACCAAAATAGCTGCACACTTAAGAGAGTAAATAAAGCTCTGGGAATTTAAAATAAATAGTCTTTGTTCACCATTTCATTCAATACACTCCTAGATCATACGAGGAACATTCACCCACCCCCAAGATATCTGAAACCAACTGTGCAAGTAATAAGGTGGTTTCATTGAAGTGCATGATAATTTAAAATCTTGGCTTATGAATCTTGTTAGTTTGATATTTTTTGTAGAAGACGATGAAAGAAAGTTGATGCCTGCAGAAGTAATCAATGGTAAAGATTATATATATATATATATATATATATATATATATATATATATATATATATATATATATATATATATGCATATGCCACAAGTTTTGAGACTTTTTTCTGAGAGAGGCAGTTCCTCCTGTCTTAGATTATTGTCATTTTAGTATATCATTACATCTGATAATGGCTCAGACTTTGAAAGAGATTAGAGCTTTGTCCATCTTCAAAATTAATGTCTCCTTTGAAAAAGTTTCAAAACTTCTGAAATGCTCCTCATACAACATTAAGCTTAATTTGTGAGAGTATTTCTTTTAATGTGCTGCATTTCAGAAAATAAATAAAAGATTGGCCAGTATATTTCTGGGAGGATAATGCTTTTAAGGTAAGCAGTCTTTGTAATTAAAGTGCCCAATATCAAGTGATCCTTGACAGCAACAGATAAAATTAAATTATTTGCTGATATCCTAGGCATTTGTCAGGACAGTTAATAGTAAAATTGAATATTCAATTTATTTATACAAATCCTATTTAATTTTACTATCAAACTCTGACAAGCAAATGTCATGTCCATGGAACTGAGTAGAGAATGATAAGTTGAACATTAAATTTTATTCATCCATTGCTATATAAAAATTTCAGGGTTTCAGGAGGGGGAGGTGTTAATTAGGGCCAAAGATTGGTAGACTTAAAATGTTAACTTTCAAACTCCCCAAGACGACACAACACACAATGTGCATCAGTCTGTGCAACTGAGAGGTGATACTATGTTTTCTTTCCACTAGCTTGTGTTTTCTTGCTGCTAGAAAAATAATCCATGTTAATGTATATGTACTAATAGGAAAAAGAATGAAGATTTTCAATATTATAGACATATAATTTGGAACGCACCTTTTGGGTCGGACAATCTTGAAAAGGGGGAGAATGACATTCTGAATTATGGTGAAAAAGATGCATCGGGCAAAATAGATTTTGGAAGCAAAATTTGAATATTTAACCCCAAAGATATTTCTTAGAAGTAGAAAAAAAATTGTGCCCCTAATAGGGCACAATTTTTTTCAAACTCACTTTAATTCCTGGTCGTTTTCAATGCACAACATACACTGTCAAAAATTGTCAAATTCAGGGTTTCAAATTTTTTCCCTTACTACCAGAAATATTAGATGCAGAAAATGTCACAAGCTAAATGAAGGAGTGACAGAGTAGCAGTAAAGTCAATGGGTACTGAAAAAAAAAAAAAAAAAAAAACCTTGCTTGTGCACACCAGAGCTTCAAATACCATTAGTACTTGATGCAACTATAACCTATTTTATAATATTGTTGACAATTTAAAAAAAAAAAAAAAAAGTTTATTATATCTTAACGTTTTTGAACAATCAAATTTTATTACATCTAATATCAACAAGATAATTTTTCAACATTAAATATCAGCAGGGCATTTGACATTTTCCACCATAGAGAAAATGCTTTCAAAGTGAAGTAACATATTAAGCACGGATCAGATGATTTCTACAATAAACAGAGGCTCAGAATAATTTTTTTTTTCTTTTATCATGGATCATATTGTCAAAACAACAAAAATAAATTCTCAAGTACACTCCACTGCTCAGTTTAAATTTAAAATTCACTGTACTTAGACAAAGTGAATATTTTTATGAAGATTAAAGACTTGTTTGTATTGAGAGTATGTGGCTGATAAGAGATAAAAGGGCAGTCTGTACAAACATTTCCACACAAGAGAGGAATAAATCACAAGAATAAATCACAAGTATAAATCACTTGAAGAATGACCAGCTTCGAAGTTCAAATATTTTAAAGTTTAATGTATTGATGAATCAGATAAATATTTGGATTCAACAAGCCAGCCATGACATTGAGATGTCCACACAATACTGGCACAAACAGTAACAGTTTTCAATTTTCTTTTGAAAATCATTCCTTTTAAACAAATATTATCTGAAACATTTCATTATAATTTTTGAAATTAGGAATTATTATCAAACCAAACTGTTTGGACGAGCATTCTCATTTTAGTTTGTATTGCCAGAATTCTTTGGCTAGTGTACCCACCATCCTCCCTCAAGTGTGTATAGGATTTTACACTAAACATTTTATTCAATCCACATTGGTTCTCAATTTTTTTTACCCAATGTGATGTCAATCCCCACACCTTTCTACAATTGTCAGACTCAAAAGGTGCATTTAAAAAAAAAATAAGCATATATTATTAAAATCATTATTTTTCCCCCATATTAGTACAAAAACGTTGATCATTTTTTTTAAAGTTAAGCGAAAATGTTGGATTTTTAAACACAAATACATATACAGTAATTTGGTTTAATTGATAACTAATTATCAAATAAATGTTATTGAAGTATACTTCAATAAACAAAAAGTTCAATAAAAAGTCAGGTTATTTAAATCGATTTTATTCTGATGAAGATGACAGTCAATGAAAAACTTGTGAAAAAGTAAAAATTCCCGTCCCTATGAAACTGAACTCGGTGGGGGAGGATTTCCCTCTGGTTGAGAAGCCCTGGTCTAGGAATATCTTCTATTCGTTAATTCATCTTCATATGATGTCATTTGTCTTTTTCATTGAACCAGGGGATATTTTTACCATCTGGAGATTGAATGGGCGACCATCAAACTATCATGGATAAAAAGCATTGGGTAATTGAATCAAATTACCTGATGAATGTAAGTTTGGATTTCATTCCAAAACTCAAAAGGCAGGCTAATATATCAGAGATAGGGATTTTTTTTTTTTTAAATAAAAGTTGATACAGGTAAAGTAGTTGTATGAAGACAATCATTGCCCTTACTGCAGTCAGCTGGATTTTGTAGGCTCTACATTTGGCATTGTACCAAAAATAATTTGGGTATTGGAGGAATCTGAAGGTGTTTTCCAAAACAACTTCAGATTCCTCCAATCATATATGAATTGTCATGAAAGACTCTTCAATTTGCTGACAGTATAAGAGTAACCATGACAAAGATATTTTTCATGAGACATCAGCCACTTGTAAGTGATCAAATGACATAACATGAGCCCATATTTTCATATTAACTGAATTTAAGACATTTAGTTCAATAGACCCATCCAAAAATCAGCTGAACAAACATTAACCAGGTCTCTGACAAGTGCATCAGGATGGATTTGTACAACTTCTAAAGCAATCAGAATAAGGTCATATATTCAATCTGATTGCCATTACTTCCACCACCATTTTCTGATACTCAAAAAGAATCTAGACCAATGCAGATTCTTCTTAAATTATAACTTACTATCAAAGCAGGTAGCAGAAAGGATGACATGAGTTAGACAATAAATAAAGTCACTCTTCCTACCATCTGCATTTAGCCAATAACTGATTTTAGAATTATTTGCTACTCATTAAATAAATCTTAACCCATCTATAAATTACTTTTCTCATCAACAAACTATAAAATGTTCATGATTTATGACTATATGCATATATTATGTTAACAAAACACACAAGTTCTTATCTGTGACACTTGACACCTTTTGTCAGTTTGTCCTAATTATTCAGTATGTAGACCAGATGGGATGTACTCAATTACTAACAACAAAATCCAACCAGATGAAACAAAGTAGGAATTAAACTAAAAGGTCAATGACAAGGTTTGAGTATTAGCAAAGACTATAAAGGAAAAGACAGGGGATACCAATAGACCAGCAGAAATGATCAGTTCTACCATACTGTTTCAGTAAGTACCAGACTCCTCTTCTTGCAATCTATCTTCACAAGAGCTAGATCAGGTTACCATATATGGGAAAGAGCTGCCTAGTCTTGACTTTCCAGTCTTGATAGAGTCCAAAGGCATTTCCATGTCTTTGTGGGTGAGGAATCATTTCTCCACTCTACAACCCCCTTTTTCACAGACAAAATGTTGCAAACTTCTCACTAATCACTTTCCATGGAACGTGTCCAAACTACATTCCTAAGGTCCACCAGTTTTATCCTTCACAGAGCTAAAAAACGCCCTGTCAAGCAAATTGTGAACTACCTTCATTCTTTCCATATTCTGTTAGCGAGAAGTAAGTTCCTTTGAACGGCTTCTTCCCACAAACCACTTTGTGGATCTGACTCCCATGAATCATCTCCAATCACTACAATCTTAACCTGTTCAAGACTAAGGTTAAGTTTTCTCCATTTACCCCCATAAAATGTACCTCTTACTCTCTTTCTATATCTCTATATATATATATATATATATATATATATATATATATATAATAAATATATATATATAAATGGATAAAATGGGGGGGTAATGAATGAAATTGCATCCATTTAACAATCACCATTTCTGTAAGCAACCTGAATTAACAGAAAAGAGGCTAACGAGTGCTTCACTTTACTGAAAGTAGACCTTGAATAAAGTACAGTAATTATACAGTTAATAATCAAATATAAAAATGCTACCTTCCAAAAGGAATCAAATTTGAAAGCTGGATTCTGCTACTTGAGAAAGATCCAAGTTTTTGTTTTTTTTGTTTTTTTATAGCAAAATTAATTCGACAAACTATTTGCTCCTATTATCTGGCAAGATCAAAACTTCATTTCATATTTCAAGCAAGGATTCCGATGAAACTAAGTGTGACTTAAAATGTATTTAATCCCAAATGACAATATCAAAAAGAAATTTGAGCATTAAACAAAAAATAAAATAAAAAAAAAACTGATTTTGCTGAATATCTACTTCCAAGCAAACATCTCATTAAATAAGATGACATTTTTCAGGTACAAGTCTTCACATTTATTCAAACAATAATAAAGAGAATAGAATTGAGTTCTGCTGAAATGTCATTTCTTAAACTAATATCTTGAAATTAGCAACACAACGTTTCAATGCTCACAGGTAACAAAAAGAAACTTTATACATCAAAAAAAAGATGACTAAACAATCGATGACACCTACCCATGAAGTTAATAAAAATGTGATTAATTTTTAATGTAACAAATTATTTCCTGAAAATCACAATTTTGAAAGAGGACTTGTCAAAATATTATGATAGTTTGTTTTTTTGTTTTTTTTTTTTTATAGAGGTTGGAATTACATTTTTCATTAAAATTTTTTACAATATTACTGTTTTATTTTTGAAAACATTTTTATTTTAATTATTTTACTTTGAGGGGTGGAGTGTAAAAATAAATAAATTATATATATATATATATATATATATATATATATATATATACACACACACACACACACACACACACACACACAAGATCCTGGTAGTTTACTTATTTGTAAGAAAATTTCTTTGTTTGTCATCCACATACAAAAAGCATGTTAATTTCTTTTAACCTATGACATTATTTCATGATGTAAGCTCATAATGGAGAAGTTAATTGGGACTTCTTTCTTTGCTCAGTAGACCAAACCAGAACATGGTTCAGTGCCTTTTGAAATGGTAGGCTATAAATATGATTAGTGTGATCAACTTTTGTTTTCTGTGCTAAAATACAATATACCACAATGATCTATAATCTGAAGAAAAAACATCTCCATGCTACAGGAATTTTAATTACAGTTAATCAGTCATAAAAAGATATTTAGCAAATATTTTATAAGGATTTAGTGACTGAAGTAACTGTATCCATCACCAGTATATTAGTATACTAACTTCATATATGTATATTTTGATAAAAGCTGTCAGGACAATCACCTTTGAGATTTTTTTTTTTTTTTACAGCTTATTATCCTTTTGCAGGTTATTTAAAGCCAAAAAATATTTTTAGATTTCTAAGAATTTTTTTTTTTTGGAGGGGGGGGGCGAATGATTTAGTGATACAAGTCCTGCTAATTAACCCATAGCTGAGGAGAGAAAAGGAGGATTCATATCATTTCCAAAGGTATTTGCATATAAGTGAATATAACAAACCTGACTTGGCTCTTCAATTTCCAATTTAAAACTGTTATCCATTACATTACCTGCACATCCAGGCTTACAGCACCTGGTATTACCAAGCAGTCACCGATCTGAGTACTGACCAAGCTCAATGTTACTTAACTTCTGTGATTGTCTGAGAACCAGTGTTTCAACGTGATATCACTCTAAGCCCACAATCACCTTTGAGCTGTTTGGTAGATATTTTTTTTTCTTCTATTTAAAAATCAATTCATCCCAAGCAAGGCAATAATGCCACAAAGACAGAATGGGTTATTGGGAATAAAAGTGAATGATAAGATTTCAGAAAAAATTGGAAACCTGGGAACAAAGAATGAACCTCTGCTCCAGCTTAAAGAAAAAAAAAAAAGAAAAAAGAAAAAAAACTTAATTAAATCCACCAGTGTAGATTGTTTTCATTCTGTTTAGGAAGTATTCTATGTCAGTTAACGCTCACCAGTTGTCTGTTTCTTTCACTGAAACAGAGTAGGTCACTTTTCAGTACAACCAGACCCAGGGACTGAACTTACAGTACAAATGGACTATTTGTCTAAGACACGTGGGTCCTTGACAAAGACCATGGTCTAATAGATTAAAATATTTGTTAAAACATATCTGGTTCCCTGGCAGTTGAGTTCAATACCTGGGTTTGGTAGTGTTAAAAATTTATAAATTCTGTTCAGTAAAACAAAATGACCTAGAAGTGAACAAGGCTGGTGAATATTAAATGATATGAAATATCCCCTAAGTATAGAAAGGAAAAAGTGAACAATCTATCAAATAAAGGGTTTAGTTTAAAATTCAGAGAAGGTTGCCGAGTGCAAAGAGACACCTGAAAAAGGGTGGAGGGCATCATTCTTGAAACGTGAGTATAACAACCAAGGTGAGAATGTTGGTCACAAATAAAGCAAAGACTGGTAATAATTACTCATCTGAAGATTTCCAACAAAATTAGCAGTTGCATTTTTAGTAGTTCTTCAATCTACTTAAAAAGTAAAATAATTCTAAATTGTTTATTAAATTGTTTTTTGGCAAACTTGGATCTTTGTGCTCAGAAAAAAAAAAATTGTTATAAAAAGGACAGTTTTTCGCATGACACTGCGTTTATTTTAAGTACCTTCAATCGTTCGCAATGTTTATCATTTTAAAAAGCGAGGGTGAAGATTAGAATTGTAATAAAATATTTACAAGAATTTTATATTTACAACATTCTAAAAACTAATACAATTAAAACTAATGCAATGGAATATTTATCATTTACCAATTTATAAAGAAAGAAATTGAAAAAATTTCTATTCATACATTTATAAATATTTACCAAATTATTAAAATATGGGAACCAACAAGAAGGAAATCATTATTATTTACCATTTTATAAAGTTTCAATCAACTGGTAATTAGCCGATGTTTTGCCAACCATTCCAATAAGCAATAAATAAATAGTGCAAATAAACAATCTAATAAGTAAATAATAAACAAGTTGTATCCCCATGCAAACTTTACCCTGGTCTCTGACAAGTGCATCTGGTGACAAATTTGTAATACTATTTCTATACCAATCAAAATAGGCAGGTTAGGTTTAGGACTCCAAGTTCTCCACAGGACAATAGGCTAGTGGTTTAAGGCACTGGCTCATCAATTTTGGTAACAGTAATTATCATTTCATTCCAGGGATAGGCAGTGTGCACTTGAACTCAAAAGGCAAGCAATAACTGAGCCATACTAAAAACTAAACTATATACCAAGATATAGGCAGTGGAATAAGAACAGTCTACCACCATAGATTAAATAAAAGGTTCATTTCAGAATTTTATGTTACTCAAATTGATATACACATGATGATGGCCAGAAGATAATGGCCAAAACATTGTGATGACAGCAACAAAAGAGTTAGAATTATAGTTTGCTTGTAAATAAGAATAATGTCCAATCTGATATTTGATTTATCGGTCTATCATCATTTTTCTGAGGCTCAAAAAATCTTGACTGCAGATTCATCTATTACAACCTATATGTGGAAGACACAAGAAATGGTTATGCCAATCAGATAATAAATAAAACCAATCTTCATTCAATTAGTATTTAGCCACAAACAAAGTCAGAAATGAAATTCTTGAAAATTTGGGATAATGGCATTTCTCCTGAACTCTTTTGGATTCAACATGCTCAAACCCAACCCAGTAAATATCGGTTCTCAAAGTCTCACTGTTTGCATGACTTCCTGCATTATTTGTGAGGATATCATCCTATATTATGATAGGAGTATACATTGGGCAGATTATGGCAAGTTAAATATTGAGATCTGATATTTATAAGGCAGGCTGAATGCTCAAGGGTTAAATATACTTAAATATAGAGAAAAATTAATTAGTATTTTACAGAGTGGCCATTTGCCAATTCCTTCCTGCGACTTTCAATCATTTCAGGAAAGGAAGATGGGAAATCAAGGGTGCAAAGCCTTGAAAATTGGTCAAAAGATTTCTATTGTCATTCTATCCTCTTTTGGACCCTTCCCTAACAATCTGGTTCCTGGTTATTACAATAAACTACATCTGGCAACAAGGCCTCTGATCAAGAGGGTTTTGAGGAGCATAGAACCATTTCTTAATTACTGTTATTCCCAGGTCCACTGTGAGCCAGGGTTGTAGCATCTGTTAGGGTCCCAGTTATAGGAAAATACTGAACTCCCAAACTGGGGTTAAAACACTATGAAAGCATAAACATACATTTTTATAGTAAAATTACCAGCAATAGATTTTAATAGTTAAAATAAATTACTAAAGCTTCCAAGAAAATTAAATTTCAGTATTAAATGACTCAAAGGGTTGAAAGGCCGTTAAACAAAACTATCAGGATAAAATGTAAATGTGGTTTAAGGAATGTAACCATAGTTTTGCATCTGTGACCTACTAGATACAATGAGTTAAGTAAATAAATTACTAAATGGACACATCTGCTTTATTAACATCAAAACTCAAAGTCTTATTTTATTTCAGAAACTAATCTTAATCAATATTATATAAATAGATAGTTACATTGATTCAATTTCAATAAATTAAAGAAATAATTATGAAATTCACTAAAATGTACTTTAAAAAGTACATGCCTTTCCTTTTTTTTTTAATCTATTCTTATTAGGATATAAGTATTGGTTATGTGTATCTAGTTACTTGGGGGTTTCAATCCTTGGATCAAGAAGTGGAATAAGTTTAGTGAGAAAAGCAAAAGCAGTATCACTAGTAAAAAAATGAACTCAAAAGAATTAATAGATACAAGATACCTTCTAACAGGGACTGAAACCCTACTCCTAGCTGGAATTGAGTGGGCATTTTCAATTATAGGCCATCCAAGCAGAATGGGTCACCAGTTTATCAAATACAACAGGCATTTGAAGAAGGTCAGAGAGCTTACAAGTGCTAAAACATCAGGTCTTAGACCAAAATAAGTCAGAATACATATGCATCTGTATAATATTTATAATCATGGCTTCAGATTTTAAACGATGGGTAGTGTTAACATGGAGTAAATATCTCATTTGGTATTATAGATTTGTTGGTTGCCTGACCTTCACTGGTTGGATATACCTACAAGGGGTCAAAGTGACTATGAATCTCTGCTCATGAGTAGGAATAGTGTAAAGTGTCATGGTTGAAAGGGTTGTCTGTTTATGTTTGAAGGACAAAGCAGCCAGGGTGTCCCATTTAGATATGTGGAAACACCCTCAATTATAGGCCATCCAAGCAGAATGGGTCACCTGGCCTGAACAGATTTTTTAACTGGGTTCCACCTGTACAGTAATGCACCGGTTTCATCAAAACCTTTGGCCATATCATGCATATTTGCCTGTGGTACATGTGCTTGTTATACACTTATCAGACTGGGTGTCATGATGAGTATACTGGGCTTCCTGTTACCATATCACACATATTTGACTGTGATGCATGTTCTTGTTATACACTTATCAGATTGGGCATTATGATGGGTATATTAGGCTTCATATATTTGTACCTCTTGTGTCACTCTACTGGCAAGTTGTCCTTTCACTTAAACTTTTTTTATCAAAACCTTTCACTATATTGGGCACATTTGCCTGTGATGCATGTGCTTGGTATACCCTTATCAGACTGGGTGTCATGGTGAGTATATTGGACTTTGGTTATTACTTTGTTGGCATGCAGCTCTCTATAATAATTCCTCATTTCAAAAAATCTGAAAGATCAGCTTTAATGCTGAAATATGAAGAGAAAAAAGGGTTATTGCATCATCCACAGAAGTATAGGGAGAGTTTCGGCCCCTTGGATTTTTTTTTTTGTTTTTTGCTGGAGCTGAAAACGAAATGGAACAGACTAAATTTGTCTTCTTAGCTTCTGTCTATGATGATGCTGGTGAGCCAAGCTGCATCATTTGTACCATTACTGAATAATTTTCAGAAAAAGTCAGAAAAATTAATCTTCCGCCCTTTCAAAACATTAGCTTCTATACAAGTCCAATTCCAGAAAAAGTCTGAGACTATGGACTTTTTCTTATGGAAGAGGAAAATAAATACAAAACTGGAGAAAAATAAAGTGTGTTTATAATAAAAGAAAAAAAAAAAAAAAAAAAAGTTTATAAAAGATAATAGTTCTAAAAGATATTCCTTTTATGAGAGGAGTGGATAAAAATATAGAATCAAGAATATTTAAAATTTCAAATCTAACTTGGCCTCCTCCAACTCTTAACATTTATATTTAACTTTATGGCACCATGCTGATACATATCAAATATAAATTTGTGGATGACTATTTAAATTATTTACATATGGACAGAAATTGCGGATGACTGTTAGCAATTTATTACAATTATACAATTTTTGTTATACTAGCTTTTGAGTGATGCCCCATATTTATAGCAAAGTGTCACAGGTTCTTATTTCACAAAGGAAGTAAAAAAAAAAAATATCATCATTATATCATTATTACAGGATAACTTAATGCAGTTAAGCCATATGGGTCAAAGGGTAAATTTTGTATCTGAACTGCTTCATGAAAGAATATTTCAAAGAAAGTTACATCCACAGATATAATAATAATAATAGCTCTGTTACAAATCTCACTGGTAGGTGTCTTGAAGCGAGCTGGAATTGAGTGGGCATTTTCTTTCTGCTTGAAAGTGTAAAAAGAGGAA